ATACACGGGAATAGGCTCGAGTGAGTTAAAAATGAGTTCTTGTTTAAATTTAAATTTTAATGTATCTTTATCTTTCTGAATGAAAGAGCAAAATATCGTTTAACTTGGTCTTAGATATTTCCTATCTTGGACATGAAGTTGAAGGAATTGGGGGGGGGGGGGGGGGGGGGGGGGGGACAGGAAGGCCAGTCGCACACTGTGAAATCAAGGGTCACCAGCCTGGTTGGCATGCAGCGGTCAATACTTTACTTTACACCTCTCAAGTGCGATCCTAGCCACTTTTATAATGGCATGTGTCAGTGACTGTCAGTCTTACTTAACCCTATCTGTAGGCCCTGGGGTGATTTTTTTGAAGATCTCTTTGAAACTTTCAGTATTTCTCAAAAAATCATTTTGACAGACTGCTATGTAAAGTGTACAGATCAGATTAGCGAGTAAATTTTCTCTTTGGAAAGTGGTGGCACAGAGTTCCCCATGTCGTATGGATATGATAGTAAAACAAGACATACGGATAGGGTTTAAACCGTTAAATCTATTACTGCAAGAACCGGAGTCTCATTATTAGGACCTCTGTTTGACGACTTGATTTTTTAAAACAGAGAAATAATTGAATATATATTTTTTGTCCTTTGTTTCTTCTTTCTTGGCCCCGCCAATGTCAAAAAAAAAAGAAAGAAAAATGAATGACAAGAAAAGTCAATGCCATTCATCCCTGGCATGTAATAATGATTTGGGGAATCTTTTACTTTGTAGAGTCAGTGAGGCAGGCAGTGGTCAAAGTCCACAACTCTGGCCACCCAAAAAAGTTGCAGTGCAGTTTGAAGACAAGAAGTGGTAAAATTCCACTTTCACACCACCATGGCCATGAGCCCTGCTCAGGGCTCTTGGTGTTGAATAGCAAGTAGGCCTACCCCCACCCACACACACACACACACACACACACACACACACACACACACACACACACACACACCTTAGTAAAAAAAATTTAAACAGGGAAAGATCGGTTAAAAGGGAACCTGGGTAGATTCTAAATGCGGCCACACGATGACGTACTCATGGCGATTTCTCAGCTTTCATGTAGCAAACGCTTTGTTTCGCTGATCATGACAAAATTGTCGTGTGTGGGTGTTGCTTGTTTGAGTCTTCATAAATTGGTCGCTTTTCAGGACAAGTGGGCTAACCCAGATTTCGTGGGTTTCCAGAAATATTGACCAACACCTAAAGTGGGCATTGCCCTACTTATAAGACAAATTTATTTTTATTGGTTGTGTATATTAATTTTGTTTGGTTATAAAGAAAATTCTCCCCGTTTTGTAAAGAAAATGAAAAAGAGTCAAAAACTTAAACTTCGG